TAACAATCCTGAGAAATAAGAACAAAGCTCGAGGCATTGAACTTCCTGATTTCAAACTATACTACAAAGGTATAGTAATCGAAACAGTATGGTACTAGCATTAAAAACAGGCATATAGATCAATGGAACAAAATCAAGAGCCCAGAAATAAACCTTTGTATATAGAGTCAGCTAATACTTGATGAGGGAGCTGAGAATAGACAATGGGGAAAAGACAGACTACTCAATAAATGATGTTGGGAAAACTGAATAATCATATGCACAATAATGAAATTAATTTGAAATGGTTTAGGGACTTAAACATAAGAACTAAAGTGATAAAACTAGAAAAAAATAGGGGCACCTGGGTGGCTCAGTTAGTTAAGCGTCTGCCTTCAGCTCAGGCCATGATCCCAGAGTCCTGGGATGGAGCCCTGAATCCGTTTCCTTGCTCAGTGTGGAGTCTGCTTCTCCCTCTCCCCCTCCCCACTGCTTACTCCCTCCCTCTCAAATAAATAAATAAAATCTTAAAAAAAAAAAAAAAAAAAAAAAACGAAAACAGGACGAAACGCCTTGACTTCGGTCTTGGCGATGATTTTTTGGATATGACACCAAAAGCATAAGCAACAAAAGCAAAAATTAGTATGTGAGACTACATCAAATTAAAACACATCTGCACAGCAAAAGAAATAACAAAATGAAAAAGCAACCCATGGAATGGGAGACATATTTGCAAATCATATATCAGATAAGGAGTTAATACTCCAAATACATAAAGAACTCAAACAATTCAATAGCAAAAACTCAATCTAATTTAAAAATGGGCAGAGGAACTGAATAAACATTTTTTCAAAGAAGGAATACAATGGCCAGCAGTTACATGAAAATGTACTCAACATCACTAATCACGAAGAAAATGCAAATCAAAACCATAATAAGATATCATTTCCCAAATCTGTTAGAATTGGGATGCCTGGGTGGCACAGTCGGTTAAGCCTCTGCCTTCGGCTCAGGTCATGATCACATGGTCCCGGGATCCCCACATCAGGCTCCTTGCTCAGTGGGAGCCTGCTTCTCCCTCTGCTTGCCGCTCTCCCTGCTTGTGCTCTCTTTCTCTCTGACAAATAGGTAAAATCTTAATAACAAAACAAAACAAAAACCATTGTGGCAATGGCACTGGATAAAAATAGAAAAAAGGAACAAAATAATAGTCCATATACAGAAAAATCTAATTAACGACAGGGCAACACTGTGGATTAGAGGGGAAAGAATAATATTAATAAAGTTCTTGATGGAGATTGGAGGCAGATATTTCCCTAGTTCAGCTTCCAGATGAGGACACAGTGGGCCCACACCTTGATTTCAGCCTTTAAAATAGTGACCAGAAGTCCCAGTTAAAACATGTTGGGCTCCTAATACACAGAAACTGTGGGATAACAAATTTGTGAAATTTCAAGCTGTTAAATTTTAAAAATTGAGGTATAATTGACATATAATAGTTTCAGGTATACAACATAATGATTCGGTATTTGTGTATATTGCAAAATGATCACACCCTTTGAATATGCAATACAGTATTATTAACTCTAGTTGCCATACTGTACATCACATCTCCATGGCTTATTTATTTTAGAACTGGAATTTTGTACCTTTTGACCCCCTTCACCCATTTTGCCCCCTCCCCTTTTCTCCATGCTCCACCCCCATCTTTGGACACCACCAATCTGTTCTCAGTTATCTATCAGCTTGTTTTCCTTTTTTAAATTTAGATTCCACATATAAGTGAGATCACAGAGTATTTATCTTTCTCTGCCTTAGTTAACTTAGCATAATGCCTTCGAGTTCCATCCATGTCGTTACAAATTGCAAGATTTCATTCTTTATGGCTGAATAATATTCCATTATACATCTATACCACATTACATATATATCACATTTTGTTTACTCATTGATCCATGGATGGACACTTTGGTTGTTTCTGTATCTTAGCCATTGTAAATAATGTTACAATGAACATGGGAGTACAGACATCTCTTCAAAATACTAATTTCATTTTCCTTGAATATATACTCAGAAGTGAGCTTACTGGATCATAGAGTAGCTCAATTTTTTTTTTCTTTTAGAAAACTCCATACTGTTTTCCATAGTGGTTATACCAATTTACATTTCCACCACCAAGGCACAAATGTCCCATTTCCTCCATATCCACACCAACAATTGTTATTTCTTCTCTTTTTGATGATAGCCATTCCAACATATTTTTTTCCCCAAGATTTTATTTATTTGACAGAGAGAGCACATGCACAAGCAGGGCAGTAGCAGAGGGAGAAGCTTGCTTGCTTCCCACTGAGCAAGGAGCCTGATGTGGGACTCGATCCCAGGACACTGACCTGGGCCAAAGGCAGATGCTTAACCGACTCAGCCACCCAGGCATCCCACCAATTTCAATTTGAAATTGAAAAAAAAAACTCATGATATTTAGAGAAGTCTTCTCCCTTGTTTTTCTTCTTTTAGAGTGTGTCAGCTAGTTTTGGTCTTTTGCTATTCTATATATTAGCATTAGTATGTCAAGTTTCATTTTCAACAACTGGGACTTTTACTTGGAATTGTATTGAATCTGTGTATCCAGTTTGGAAATATTTTAGTTTGCTCTCTTTCAATTGCCCACTCAGATTTATGGTTAGAACCCCCATCTTCTCCCTGGGTTTCACCATTTCTTGTTGGTTACTTTTTTTTTTTGAGAGCGAGAGAGTGAGAACACGTAAGGGGTGAAGTGGAGGAGGGACAGAGGGAGAAGGGAATCTTAAGTAGGCTCCACAATCAATGTGGAGCCCCACACTAGGCTTGATCTCAAGACGCTGAGGTTATGACCGGAGCCAAAATCAATAGAGGCTTAAGTGACTGAGCCACCCAGGTGCCGCGTTATTGGTTACTTTTGATCCTTACTACATCTTGGTAAATGATCTGTTCATTAAACTCTCCTCAATTTCTACATTTCAATGTGCCAGATTTTTTTTCTGCTGGGAAACATACTCGGTCAGATTTAATTTCAAGTACTCTTTATGTCTTGATGCTATTTTATATGGCGCATTTTAAAATTACATTTTGTTTGTTGTTAGTTATAGAAATTCAATTAGTTTTGCAATACTTTTTTAAAAAATCCAGCAACCGGGGCGCCTGGGTGGCTCAGTCGTTAAGTGTGTGCTCAGGTCATGATCCCAGGGTCCTGGGATCAAGCCCCGCATCGGGCTCCCTGCTCAGCGGGAACCCTGCTTCTCCCTTTCCCACTCCCCCTGCTTGTGTTCCCTCTCTCGCTGTATCTCTCTCTCTCAAATAAATAAAATCTTTAAAAAGTTAAATAAATAAAAACCCAGCAAACTTGCTAAACTTTCATTACTTCCAATAATTTATATTAGATCTTTAAAACATTTTTCTTTATATATAATCTCCATAAATAATCTTTAAATCATTACAGATTTGTAACTTTCAACACTTATGCCTTCTTGGATTATCTAAACATCTAATAGAATACTGTGTTGGAGTGATATTACATTAATTGCATTAATCTGTCTTCTAATATTAAACTCCCCTTGAAGCCCATACCATTGATCAGGATGCATAATACTCTCAAAAATCACAATCCAAATGAGGAGGAAGTACACTTTTTAAAAACCAATTTTCCCGTTTCCTTTTTTTAAAAAAAATTGAAGTATCATTGACATACAATGTTATATTAGCTTCAGATGTACAACATAATATGACAATTCTATACATTATGCAATGCTCACCACAAGGATAGTTACATCTGTCACTACATAAAGTCATACACATTATTTAGAGACATATCAGTTATATGCTTATCTACACACAATGAGCAGCAAATGGATATATATTAGTATTTTACTGACTAGCCGTTTTGTCTTTTATTTATGTCCATCATTAATGTAGTTATCTAATCAGTAAACAATCGTTTGTTGAGCATCCACTAAATGCCATTCGCTCTTCAGTACTAGAGTACAAAGATGCCAAAGCCATAACCATTGCCATTAAGCAGCTCATATTTTTTTTTTTTAAAGATCTTATTTATTTATTTGAGAGAGAGAGTACATGAGAGGGGGGAGGGTCAGAGGGAGAAGCAGACTCCCCGCCGAGCAGGGAGCCCGATGCGGGACTCGATCCCAGGACCCTGGGATCATGACCTGAGCCGAAGGCAGTCGCTTAACCGACTGAGCCACCCAGGCGCCCAAGCAGCTCATATTTAAGTGTATGAATGGAGTCTCTGTGTGTGTTGGACCATAGGGTGAGGTTGGCACAGAGGAAGTAGAACCAAAGATAATGGAAAACATATGTGGCAAGTCTGTACTATAGATGGATGAACAAAATAGAATGTGGAAGTACTTCAAGTCCTCATTCAAGACTTGAATTTTGAAATACGATACATGTTTATTACAAAAAAGATGACGGAGAAGGAAACATTCAATCATTTGTGCTGATTTATCGGTATGTGCTAAGATATTACGGTACTGGGGATAAAGTGGTGAAAGAATCACAAAAATCTGTCTTCGGTTTACAGTCTAGTATCAAAGGAAAGAAACAACTTGCCCCAGATAGGACGTTTCCTGCTTACAAAGGTTTCGTATGAGAAAACAACAAAGAAGTCCGGTTGTTACACAGAGCAGCGATACCCATACCCTAAGTGGGCTGCCTGCAGAAGATAATACCAGGGTTTCTATTTATATTTAGTTTATATTCTTCTAGCCTGTTTTTGCCTAATTATAACGCACATGCATTTAATATACACATTATTATCCCCATGATGGGAGTGCAGACTCAAGTTTTACTGACGTGAATATTTGATCAAAAAAGTTTGGGGACCACTGCTCTAGAGACCTTCGAAGTCCTTAAAAGGGAAAGCGATTTAAATTTAACTATTTAAAGTCACATAACACTCATGTCTAAAATGCTAGCAGTACAGGAATTTTTACATAGGAGTCCCTGGAGAAATTATTTTTCTTATGGGCCTTAAAGACAACCCCAGAGGGCCCGCCTTTGTAGTTGTTAATAAGAACTGAAAGAAAAAGTTCTTGGACGAGGTTTGCTGGTTTGGGCCGCCGCCGGGAACAACTCTGGTTGTCCATTCTAGATTAGATGTTCAGACAGCAAGCGCAGTCCAGCCAGCTGGATTGCTTGGCGCCTAATCCACAGGGGCCGCCAGGTCCAGAGTCTGAGACGAGCAGGCACAGCTTTCGCACTCACCAAACTCCGCCCGGAGACAGAAAGGCCGTTTCCGGCTGGTCAGAGCTCGGCGCGGGGGAACTCCGCGGCGGAGTCTAGAGCTCCTCCATGCGTACGTAGCCGGCGGGGGCCAGCGTCACGTGCCCAACGTGCGCTGATCTCGCGCCTGCGCGCTGCTGTCCTATTCGCTCCGCTACCGGGCAAACTTGCCTTCTCGCTAGATCGTCACTTCCGACGGACGCTTGGCGTCATCGGCATCGTCACTTCCTGCCAGTACCGGTGTGGACGGTGCGGGTCGTGGCTGCCGGTTCTCCGGTTTTCCCCCTCCCCTACTTTCCTCCCTCCCTCCCTTTCCCTCCCTTGGCGGCTGTCGGTCGCCCGTCGCAGACTCCCTGACCCATCCCCAACCCTTTCCTGACCTCGGTGCCACCCGATTGGCCTCTTTTTCTTGTTTCTCGGCCCAGCCCCGGCCCCCAGTGTCAGGGCGGGGGCCTTGAGCCAGAGGCTCTGCGGCAGAGGAAGGAAAAGACAAGACGACCCTCGGCTCCACAGCCGGATCGCTCGGTTCGCCGCCGCCATGGCAATGAGGCAGACGCCGCTCACCTGCTCGGGCCACACGCGGCCTGTGGTCGATTTGGCCTTCAGTGGCATCACGCCCTATGGCTATTTCTTAATCAGCGCTTGCAAAGGTGAGCAGGGTCCCTAACGACTAGGACTGGGCCGGAAGGTAGAGTGGCGGGTACTCCCCAGTGCGGAAGGGGGGATCTCAGTCTTTGAGATTGGGGCCAACAGTGGTCTGATGGGGAAAACACTGTATTAGGGATTCCGCAGCTGGAGCCAAGGGAGGCTTTTCTGATTGTCTGACGAGGCTAAATACTGCCCCCAATTGGGCCTCTCATTTCGCTTTTATTGCTATTTCTGGAGAAGCGGGACTGTACACTTGCCTGACGCCTCTGTCATCATATACTGTAAATAATCTTTCAAGGATATGGGGAATAGAGAAAACAGGAGGCCAGGCGAGTAATAACTTTCCTTATTTTAGAGACTTGTCATTGCCTTTATTTTACTGGACATTCCTATGTAGTATTAGCCCCATTTTTCAGTTGGAAACTGAGGTTCAGGTTAAGAAGTTGGTCCAAAATAAGACTCAAATCTAGGTTATTTTGATGCAAATCAATATTCCCACCGAATTACAAATGCTTCAGCGAGAATGTCTGGCTTGTCTCTTCAGTTAATTTATTTCTGAACGTTTCTTAGTGACCCCAGTGAATGAGAATAGTTACACAACAAAAGCAGTTTAACACTTTGTTATTTGACACGATCAGTTTATGTTTGAGTCTTAGATTTTAAGTAATTTGAACTTCTAAATCACACTTTTTAAATGTGTTTTAGACGGGAAACCTATGCTACGCCAGGGAGATACCGGAGACTGGATTGGAACATTTTTGGGTCATAAGGGTGCTGTTTGGGGCGCGACATTGAATAAGGATGCCACCAAAGCAGCTACAGCAGCTGCAGATTTCACTGCGTAAGTATAGCCAAATCGGCCAGTTTCGAAGATCTCCATGGATTGTGTTGTGAAGTACTCAAAACTTCAGCCTCAGTTAGTCATAAAATTCTGACCCAAAGCCTACCATGTAGAGCACGTGATGTTTGATCTCACTAAAACTCTACTCTGGTCCTTTCTGCTTTTTTTTTTCTCCTCAGTGGTTCTCATCAATTTTCAGAGACTTTAAATGACTTATTCTGTATGTCTGGATTGGGACCCAGGAATTTGCATTACTGACAAGCACTCTAGATAATGAATCTTGGTGGTTGTGCTTAAAAATGCTCAATGTAGGGCGCCTGGGTGGCTCAGCTGGTTAAGCAACTGCCTTCGGCTCAGGTCATGATCCTGGAGTCCCGGGATCGAGTCCCACATCGGGCTCTCTGCTCAGCAGGGAGTCTGCTTCTCCCTCTGATCCTCCTCCCTCTCATGCTCTCTGTCTCTCATTCTCTCTTTCGCAAATAAATAAAATCTTAAAAAAAAAAAAAAAATGCTCAACGTGTGCTTCTGGAGTGATATCACACATTTCTGTGATGCCCTAGTGCTCATGGCCCAGATTTTTAGCCCTGTCTTACTCTGGTTTTGTTAACTGGCTTTACCCATATTTAAACTCAGTTACTCTTCATTTTCTAAGTTTTTTAAGTTGAAATTTAAATATTCTTGATTTTTTTCCTTACGTCTGCTTTGTTGATTCTACCAGCAGAATGTTCTCTGTTTTTTATGCCTCTGCCACTAGTACCTTTCCTGTCTTTTCATCTTCCATAGTCTTCCTAAAAACAAATTTCATTGGGCGCCTGGGTGGCTCAGTTGGTTAAGCGACTGCCTTCGGCTCAGGTCATGATCCTGGAGTCCCGGGATCGAGTCCCGCGTCGGGCTCCCTGCTCGGCGGGGAGTCTGCTTCTCCCTCTGACCCTCTCCCCTCTCGTGCTCTCTGTCTCTCATTCTCTCTCTCAAATAAGTAAATAAAAGCTTTAAAAAAAAAAAAAAATTTCATCATGTCACTTCTCTAATGATCTTCCTGTCTTCCCTCTGCAGTTTCAGTGGTTCATGACCTGGGAAACTCGAGTGAACCCAAAAATAACCTGGGAAACTTTAAAATATTCAGATGCATGTGTCTGACAAATTCTGATTTAACTGGTCTGGGGATGGAGTCCCCAACATCTGTTTTTTTCTTTTTTAAAGTTCTAGTTGATTCTGATGTTAAGCCTTAGAATCACTGGCCTAAAGGTTAAATTTCACTTGTTGGCCAGTTTAAAATTTGGCCTCATCCTAGTTTATCAGTATTACCTGACACTGCACATCATATGCCCTACAATCTAGTTATACTAAACTTCTTGCCAGAATACACTTTACCTGTTTTGGTTTTTGGCTTTTGCATATGTTAGAGTGACTTGCAATGACCCACTTTCTCCTTCAGGGCCCTTTCATATTTTACATAATCTTGGTATTCTAGTTCCTAATTGTGTTTATGACATAGCAGACCCTTAAATGTGTAAACTGATGAAGGCAACATCAAGAGCTATTGCATATGGTAGTAAACCTTGTTAGACTCAAGTCTGGAAAGTAAAGTAGTCTTGTTTTTCTTTCTCCTTTTTCTTTCTTCCACAGAGTTCCAAACTAGGAGCAGTTGTAAATGTGCTGCTCCTTTGTTTTAAGCAAATCAAATATACGAAATTTATTATAAAAAATGAAGGCAGATTGATTGTGATGATGGATACATGACTCTTTGCATTTGTTGCAACATGTAAATTTCTATACCACAGAATGAATTTTACTGTATGTAAAATTAAAAAACAAGTTAAAAGTTTTTAAATAAGGAGAGGGTGATATGGTGCTTACCCGGTATTAAATTTGAGATGATGAGAGATCCGTAAAAAAAGTTATAAATGTCAGCAGCCTGAACTTTTTTCTGTGCCTTCAATGAACAGATTTCTAGTATGTCTTTATGCATAGCCATTGTAAGGCTTTGTGCTGTGCCCTGTTTTGATTGTATGTAATACTGATAAAATAAAGAGCTGCTTGAATTTATATAAATCCTTTAATGTCAACAGCTTCAGGTCAAATGTTGCTTTAGATGTCGGCATGCTACTTGCAATGTGTCATTCTCCTTTGTTAATTTGGTAAAAGTGATTCTCAGATGGAAGGCTTACGGTGAAAGTGTTCATTCCGTGTTCTGTGTTAAAACTTCTGGCACTTTTCGGGCGCCTGGGTGGCTCAGTTGGTTAAGCGACTGCCTTCGGCTCAGGTCATGGTCCCGGGGTCCTGGGATCGAGTCCCGCATCGGGCTCCCTGCTCTGCGGGGAGCCTGCTTCTCCCTCTCCCACTCCCCCTGCTTGTGTTCCCTCTCTCGCTGTGTCTCTCTCTGTCAAATAAATAAATAAAATCTTTAAAAAAAAAACTTCTGGCACTTTTATAGTACTTAATTGATTTATGTGTTCTTGCTTCTTGAGGTCAGGTTATATTTTTTATATTCTCTGGCTTATTTAATACCTTATGTTTGTTGAGTAAATAACTAGAGGAAGTTTTCTAAAGTAGAGGGTAAAGAATGGGTGAATTATAGATCTTGGTTTTGCTTCTGGAACACTTGTGTCTGATTGCCATGAGTTTAGCTTTTTTTTTTCCCCTTCACTTCTCCAAAGTTTGTTTTTTGCTCAGTCTAGTAGGAACATTGTCATTGGGAATGAATGTCATTGATTTTATAACAGAGGTAGAAATTGGGATTTTCAACTCTAGATTTCAGAGGTTTGGTGGGTGGATTTTAAAAAATGTCATTACTGAAACTAGGTCCCAGTGTGCTGTGGTAAGTTAATAGTTAATAAAGTGGTATTTTAAATTAAACATAATTAAGTTTTAAATGTAACAAGATGTTAGAGACTATAAACAGCATTAAAAAAAGACAGATTTTTGAATTGCAATTCTGAAAGGATAAGTTTTTGTTAACCTCAATTCTGGGCCCTGTCCGTCATTGTTAATTATGTGAGTAAAACGCTCTGTCACCTTCTGCCTGATGGTCTTGCCCTGATCTTTAAGAGACTTGTGCGAAAGCTTGTTGGGAAGGATGCCTGTCTCTGTAAAATCTGTGAAGACTCTCGGTTTGTACGTTTGATCGAATGATGATACCAGTCCTCTGGAAGATAAAGAAGTAGACAGAAATTACTGCATGTGATAACGGCCTCTGAAATGGAGAGAAAAAAAGGCGTGAAAAAATATGGCACTTTAAATACTTAATATATTGAGTCTTGGAAAGAATAGTCAGGATTGTATCTTGCTGTCAGAGGGACAGTTATCTTTATTTAGGTCACTTACAGAGCATTCATAGCCCAAGTCCCACATTCCAGGGCATGTCTCTGGATAGGTATTCAGTGTTGTTTTTATGCTTAACATTTCAAGTCTCAGTGTCTGTGTTTACAAGTAGCATTAGAAGCGTGAGCCCTGGAGCCTGATTCTGCATCCGAATCCTGTGACCTTGGGAATTTATTTAACCTCTTTTTCTCAGTGTCATCATCTATAAAGATGAGAATAGAAATAGCACTTATCTCAAATGTCAGTTGTGAATATTAAATGAGTTAAAATGTTTCTAATATTGAGAACATTGCTTAAAACCTAATGAGTATGTGTTACGTGTGTAAGGTCACAATGATAGCTCCCATTCGGCTAGACCAAATTCGTATTTGTCATTTTGGAACTTCTGAGGCTAAGGCCATGGAACTTTCTGGTTTTGTGCAAAGAAAGTTCTTAAATATTAAGAAGAAATGCTTCCCCCCCCCCCCCCCCCCCAATTCCCACTATATCATGGCAAGAAAGATGTAAGCATTCACTTTGGTTAGGTCTGAGTCCATGTGCTAGCTATGCTTTGTGTTTCCAGTTTGATCATGGGTTGCTTCTTAAAAGTTCGGCTTTGGTATCCTAAGATGGGTGTAAGACCACATGGTTATTGGGAGGATTTGAGAGATCTTTTTCCACTTATATCCTTGGAGTCTAGCATAGCGTCTTTTGCGTAGTAGCTGCTCAATAAATAGTAGCTGAGTCTTACTCCTAGTTTGTTCAGTGTCTGTCTTTGAAGAGTGGGAGTGTTATGTATATTCTCTTTTAATGATTTGTATGGAGCTTGCTGTTATGGAGCTTGAACCAGCTAAAGAATAGCTTCCCCAACTTAACCTGATTAATCATAGTTGGTATAAATCATTTTTAGGAAGTTCTCCCCACCTCCCCCATTCTTACGTTTCTCAGAAAATTCATTAATGTCATGTTTATGTAGAAGAAAATTTGGTTCTTTTGGAGCAGAGTTGGTCTGTGGGTCATTTGGGAATGTTATCTTGAGGTAATTCGGGCGGTTGTGTCAGGTGATGAGGACCCTATTCCCTGAAACCCCCTCCTCTTATTATCTTTTAATTCATGAAGCTAATATAAGCTTTACTTCCCATGATCCTCTTAGCATCTCCACTTTCCTCTTGTTAAAATCATCTGGAGGGAGTGCCAAAAGTGGAGAAGATAATTGTGCTCTGTTCCAGAGGATGATTAAATAGATCTGGAGTTGGGCCCTGAAGTCTATAGATAACCAAAGTGTATGATCACTTTTCTCTCTTGTAAAAGACAATGGGAAGATCAATTTTCCTCTGAATAAGGTTGTTGATAAATTGAAGGTGGTATTACCTCCTTTTTGATGACTTAGTCAGCATGTTAAGATAGCTAGGCAATGTTTTTCACCCAGAAAAGCTTAATTTTTTATTAAGGCTTTAAAAAAGGTAAGTTAAGTAAATAAATAAATTAATTAATTAAAAAGGGGGGGGCGTCTGGGTGGCTCATTCGTTAAGCGTCTGCCTTTGGCTCGGGTCATGGTCTCAGGGTCCTGGGATCGAGAGCCCTGCATTGGGCTCCCTGCTCTGCGGGAAGCCTGCTTCTCCCTCTCCCACTCCCCCTGCTTGTGTTCCCTCTCTCGCTGTGTCTCTCTCTGTCAAATAAATAAATAAAATCTTAAATAAAATAAAAATAAAAAAGTTAAGCATCTCCTCTTTTGAGACTTGTGGTAAGTCTGTTCTCAGGATATGAAAAGTATTGAACAGACAGCATTAATATATGCACGAAACAGGGGATATAAGGTGGGTCAGTAGTTGAGGGAGGTGACAAGTACTTCTAGAGTTGTGCAGGCAATAAATGCTGCAGGGTTCGCTGAGGAAAGGATACTGTTAATGATGCTTCATTGCCCTGATTTGAGCCTGCAGCCAGCTACGTAATACCACTTTCATGCCTGGAGATTGAAAAATACATTAGAAAACACTTAGGTTATTCCAGAATATTTTTAGGGCTGTAAGCCCTTTTTAGGACTCTTAACTGTGAATAATGAAATAGGCCCAAAGTTAGTACAGGTGATTAGAGCATGCTCTGTCAGAGCGTGTCATCTTCAATTTTAGTGGTGTTTCTAAATAGGAGGGAAAAGACTATAGATCTCTTGGCCCTACTTTGATCATGCTCTCCCCCCCAACCCCCGCTTATTGTTCCCTTTAGTTTTAAAAATAAATGTCAATTATATTAAAATGAAAATCTTTATGGAGCATAGCTTGTTCACTCTTAACAGTTCTTTTCCCAGTAAGCAAAGTTTTCGTTTATTTTTCAATGACCTCTTCTGTTATAAAGTGAACTTTTTTTCCCCTTCTCTAATCTTTTTTATTGAGAGAACCTCTTACAGTATTTTTCTAATGTATTATTTGACCATTAACCCCTAATGTAATGCATACATATATATGTGTATAGACACACAACCACACATATATTTTGGGTTGGAGGGGGTCAGAGAAACGGTTGAGAGGTTAAAAATCCTGTGTTAACATTATATAATCAAAGGTTGTGGTATTTTGGGGGGAAGTTAATTGGATTAGAATTTGAGAATTTTAAGAGTCAACTTTGAGGAAGACATGGAGAGAATATTTTCTTCTTTACTGTCTTGATTTAAAATTTTATGTAACCTGTATCAGGGCCTTTCATTCTCCTGTAAATTCTTTTTAGGATTTCTTTTTTGTTTGTTTGTTTTGTTTTGCATGTACATGAGAATAGAGAAACAAACTGGAAAGATGAAACTTAAAATTAGTTAAAATGTCTTACAGTCTTGCTAAAAGGATATTATGGCTGTAGGCTAAAAGTAAGGATGGGCTGGTTCATTGATCTCATTTACTTAAATTTGTAGATCTTTTCCATTGTCAAAATTAGATTGGTTATATGGCTTCTACGGGGATAAATTTCTTTTAGAATCATTAAAATATTTAATCAAAGGAATCTTAACAGTGAGGGATATTAGAGAGAATGGGAGACTTATAATTCATTTATATAACATTTTGCATACCTAACTTATTTGGTTATCATCAGAATTACCATTACATTTATTTTTTAACTTTACTCTTTACTTTTAGCAAAGTGTGGGATGCTGTCTCAGGAGATGAATTGATGACCCTGGCTCATAAACACATTGTCAAGACTGTGGATTTTACGCAGGTATCAGAAAATGGAGTATATTTTAGGGAGTTAAATTGCTGTTATTATAGGATGTAATAATGGTCGTGTATTTGATTGGTTTGTATATTCTATATTTGTTTGGGGGTGATATTAGGTGTATATTGACTTATATATGATTTAATTACAGATTAAGCATACAAATTTAGTTACTTGGTTAATCCTAAAATACCATGGAACTCTTGGATCAGTTCTCCATCAGTAGCAACAAACATCTAAAACATGCAAATAATGTTTCCTCACTACTTTCAGAAGAGAGAGGATAAATTTGAGATCATTAAAGAGGTGTTACTTAGGAGGGAGAGGATCAGGGCAGCTGGAGAATATTCTTGTGGTAGGTGGCATAATACATTTGAATGGTAGAGCTTAAAGGGTTTTGGCAATTATGAGAAGGATAAATGTTCTCTAGTATCGTCTCAGAAGTAATTGGCCTGTGTTGCATTTCTTTGTGATGTCTGCAAACTTTATTTGGATTTTAATTGGTGTTGAAGAAGTTTCAAAGAGATAGTAGCTATTAAAATGGCTCCTCCGTAAACAGTTTGCTTGTGTGTATTTTCAGGATAGTAATTACTTGTTAACCGGGGGACAGGATAAACTGTTACGCATATATGATTTGAACAAGCCTGAAGCAGGTAAGTGTAATTTATATGTGTTTATATTATATTTTCTTTTAATTTAAATAAGTTTTCTTGATTAAAGGAATCATGTTCAGTACTCAAATTTGAAATTAAAGATAGTCACGAAGAGAAAAATGAAAACAATTCATCATCCAGTATTAATCACTATTAGTATTTTTTAATTTTTGGTTCATAGTCTTCCAGTCTTTTTTTTTTTTTTTTTTTAAGATTTTATTTATTGACAGAGAGAGCACAAGCAGAGGGAGAGAGAGGGAGAAGCAGGCTCCCTGCTGAGCAAGGAGCCCGATGTGGGACTGGATCCCAGGACCCTGGGATCATGACCTGGGCCGAAGGCAGCTGCTTAACTGACTGAGCCAACCAGGTGTCCCTTCCAGTCTTTTTTCTATGCAGATATCTTTTTTTAATGTTCCTACATTGTGCTTTCATAGTTTCTTTAAAAATTAAAAATTCATCTTGCCAAATTTTTATCATTTAAGTTTAAAAAGGTACATAGCAGTGTTACTACTTTTTGGTAAGAAAGAATGGTTGTCTAGAAGGTGAGAAGTGAGAATTTTAGTGTGTGCATATTTTGTTCAGATTTTTGAACCATATGAATATATTAGCTAATCAGAAGAATTTTTAAAACTTAAAAAATTACAATTTTTTCATGTATTTAAATATTCTCTCTACTGTTTTTAATGACTATTGTTTTTTATGCTATGAATAAGTCGATTAACCAGTCTCTTACTGTGGCCCATTTGGGCTATTTACAAATTTTAAATATAAGTGGTGTTACACTTAACATCCTTATAGGTGCAGATATTTCCACAATTACTTCTATAGAATAACTACACAGAAATAGAATTGTTGGGACAAAAAGGGAGGTACACTTGGAAGCCATTGGTAGGTATTACCAAAGTGTGCTCCACCAAAGTATAAAAATATATATCTATAGCTAATCTCTTCTGGCAAACACTGATAACTTTGTCTTTTCCAATTTAATAGAAGAAAAATGATTCTGTGATATTGTGAACTTGAAAAAAATTATTCACGAGATTAAAATACTGTTGAATACCATTTTAATGTGTTCTTTGTGAACAATAGTCTGTTCATGCCCTTTGCCAATTTATCTGTTGTGATGTTCATCTTCTTATTGGTTTTAAGGTTCTTTATTATATTTTGATTTGTCCTTTGCTTTTAAATTTTGTTAATAAGGTTTATGGTATACACATTGTAAAGTTTTTGGTGGTGAAATTTATTTCCTTTATGAATTCTCTTACTGCACGGAAGTCATAAAAGATGCCTTTTTCCCCTGACCCAGATATTCATCTCTTTTGTAGTATCTTAATGCTTTTCTAGTCACATAATATGTAATATTATATATTTCAAAAGCTACCAGATTATAATGAACAGGATTTTGTTTTATTTATTTTATAGTCTTACGTTTTGTATCGTGGGTATTATTCATTAATTTATGAATTTCAGAAGTTTGTAGGAAAGTCAAAGCTACATTGGATATTAAGCAGTTATTCTCAAGACAGTCTCTTTCCTAAAAGCATTTCTAAGGTGAGCAAACAGACTACATTTATAGATTCTTCTTCATTGGCATCTGGAGGTATTTCTCTTCATTCTCTTTTATAACTTTACGCCAAAACATAGCAAAGTACTCGGACCTACGTCATTGTGCCTTTCTGACTTAGCAAGTTAGTTCAGGCCTTAGGCCCTTCTCAAAGCTGCTTTCTGAAAGTGGTTCTTCTGCTGTACTGGCAATAGAAATAATAGCAGTTAACTGCTTTTACTGTATGTCAAACTCCAGGTTAGAAACCTTAGGTGTATATTCTCATTTGATCCTCATACTCAAACTGTGAGGTGTAGTAACTGTTGTTATCCCATTTTACAGAAGAAAAAATGAAAGGGCTAAGTAACCTTTACTTCAGCAGGTTAAGTAACTTGCCCCAAATCAAAGTAGGGTTGGTTGGATGGCTTTGCCTCCAGAATCTGCTTTTGCCCAAAGATAACACTGAGCAGTTGTTCTTTTTTTTTTAATCTTTTGAAGGGAAAGTCTCCAACAGAGATAGGTTCCTGGTGGTGGTTTTGTTTTGTTTTGTTTTTTGAAGCTTTGATCTCATTGTAGAAATATTCTTGGGAATTACTGCATTGTTTTTTACTCTCTTTTTCTCCTGTCAGCCTGCTTCCCTCTTTTTTCCTGTTTCTACCAACAGTGGCTTGGACGAGGGTCCCAGTGTTAGTGGTAATGTTGGATTAGCTTTTTTTTATTTCATTGTGCTACAGTAATGCTTTTGAAAGCAGAAACATAGCCTGGAGGGAGTGGTGTATTCACTCCCAGATACATATAGCAGCATTGTTCTTGGGTTCTTTGTCATGCAGATAAATTTTTGTTCCAGTGTAGAAAAACCACATGTATTCTGTGGAAACAGTAAGTTTGCATTGTGTTGGGCTTTGAAAAGTTGCAGTTTAATTTGAAGTGTACTTCTTTTCTTTTTACATATTTAATTGTTCCAGTATTGCTCAGTTTAAAAAAGCAAATATTAACAAATGTAATTTAAATTGTTTCATTTTAAGAACCTAAGGAAATCAGCGGTCACACCTCTGGTATTAAAAAAGCTCTATGGTGCAGTGAGGATAAACAGATTCTTTCAGCTGATGATAAAACTGTCCGGTAAGTAATTTTTCTTTAGTGATTTAAAGTTGAAAAATATTTGACCTTAGTGATTATATTTTAAATATTTCTCATAACTGTATGTATGAAGGATTATCTCTAAACATTGAAACTTAAGCTGCACATAGATCACATTTTTCTGGAGCTGCCCATACTGTTATAAACCTAGAGCAGAATCCACAAGACACTTAATTAAAATTACTGACATCTTTATAAGCCTGTGCTCTTAACCTGATTCACTGGACAAGCTGGCTACGGGGGGGTCCATGAAACTCCTGGTATCGTATACATAATTTTGTGTGCTGATACCTGATGTTTTTTCCTGTGGAAATATATATAGCTATCATCAGATTCACAGAGTGTAAGAACTGTTCTTTAGAGTGATGCTAAAATTGGTAAGATTAGGACTTACATGTCTTATAGCATAGTTTGCTAAGGGAGGTATATTTAAATATTAAAGTTGACTTCACCAACAAGATACCAAGTAATGTAACATTGTATAGGAATCCCAAATTTCTCTGTATCATCTATAACTTATGAATTGGAATATAGGAGATTTTACTACAACTGTGATTATTCTTCATTGGTTAATCTGTAGATATAATTGGGAATTAAGCTTTTTCTTAAGTGAGTAAATACCACCATATTTTCCTCTTCCTTTTTTGCAGCCTTTGGGATCATGCTACCATGACAGAAGTGAAATCTCTAAATTTTAATATGTCTGTTAGCAGTATGGAATATATTCCTGAGGGAGAGATCTTGGTAATAACCTATGGACGATCTATTGCTTTTCATAGTGCAGTAAGGTATGTCCAAGAAATACCTTCTTTTTTTTTTTTTTTGGTATCTTAAATATTGGAAGGCACATGTGAAAGGTATTTAACTCTTTTAACAAGGCAAATCTTGGCCTATACTATATAATATGGGGAAAAGTTTCCATGCCATTATTAATATGTATTTTAAGAATTTGATATACTGAGGAATTAATCCAATTAATTTCCAATATTTAGGGGACATTATTGGTAAAATTTAGTAACTTCTAAATTTTTTCTTTTTTTAAATTATATTTTCCTTAAAAGGATTGCTAGACTGGTGTTATAATTAATGTGCATTACTGTAAAAAGCCACTGTCATCTTGATTCTCTTATTAATTTTCCTTTTACAATTTTAGAGAAATAGTGATTTTTTTTCTTCTATTCCGAAGTTTGTGTAGATCTAATGATGTTTTTTAAAAACAGATTTAATTTTTTTGTGACTATAAGTGTAGTTAAATGCCCTTGTTGAAAATTTGGAAAAGATAATTTTAAAAAATTTACCCACTGTTCTTCAACCATAGATGCCAGACTGTTAATGGTAGTTGTATTTTCCATTAGTCTTTTTTTCTTTGTTACACATGTATAACATTATATGTGTGTGTTTGTGTGGGTATTTTCTTTTTAGTTACTAGGGCCCTATGAGTGTAATTTTGATTTTTTATTTTAAACTATTCTTAGCTATTAAAAACTGTTTGAAAATATTTTTGCTAGGTGTATTGATAGGTTTTACTAAATTATGTATCAGTTTCTCTGAAAAGAGCTGATGTCCAAACTCATTGATGTTCATGTGCATTGATTCTTATTATAGCTGTAGTTCCAAATTTGGTTATTCTTTCAAAAGCTTGATAGTAAAAACGGAACCATCTTTAGCAGTTTTTATATTTTTGTAGTATTGAAGGTTTTGTTGCAGAAGCTTATAAATTCTCAGCAATTGAGAATAATGTATAAATAATCCATTATGTTAATTACTTATTATAAAACATTTTCTGTTCTCAAAGATGCGTGGTTGTCATGGAAAAATCAAACAATACAGAATTAAATTTCTTTCAATGCAAAAATCCAAATATATCAGCCATACTGTTGTTAATTAGCCAGCACAGTCATTTCCAGGAAAGCACTCACTGCACAAAGTGTCTTTGTATTCCTGGAATGAACTCCACTTGGCATAGTATCCTTCTGGACTTTTTTTGCTAATATTATTTAGAAGGCTTTTTTTTTTTTTTTTTTTAACATCACTATTTATGTTTGACTAAATGAAGACATAATCATTTCTTGGGTTTCAGAAATTAGGAACAGTTTAAAAGTAATTGTTTCCTGGTATTGTTTATGTAGTCAAAATTTATAAATATTACTTAAACTATTTTCCAGTTTGGACCCAATTAAGTCCTTTGAAGCTCCTGCAACCATCAATTCTGCATCTCTTCATCCTGAGAAAGAATTTCTTGTTGCAGGTGGTGAAGACTTTAAACTTTATAAGTATGATTATAATAGTGGAGAAGAATTAGGTGAGTTGCTCTCTTTTTCCTCCCTTAAAATGATACGGTTACATTTATCAAATGGTTTTCAGTAATTAACACCTCAGTTAGCAAATTTTTCAGCTAACTAAAGCTTGTTATTTCCAAGTGAAAAAAGTAAAGGATTTTTTTCCACTTTTGGTAGAAGTATTTACAGTGGTGTAAATAAAGCATGCCAGACTCTCAATTTTACCTTTTCCTTTTAACTTAAGTTCATTGTATTCTGGTAGTCTGTACAATAGGGCAGTATATTTATTGGGGGTAGGAGGAGGCAGTCGTACATCAAAATCATGTTAAACAGATGTAAGGGTATTTGTTTTTTCTGAAGTATAGTGCTGGTATGTAGTCCCATCTACCTGGCTCCCCCTATTGCTAGTGTAAGAATCTCTAAGCTCTGTTGAGAATAGTGTGGGCGAAAAACAGCTATGGTGTATTACAGGGATACCTTAGGCATCTGAATTGGAGGGGATTTTTGTTTGTTTGGATTTTTTTGGAGTCTGACTTTTGCTTCCACTTTCATAATAGTCCTTCATAAAGGCAGAGGAAGGGCATGTAAGATTAATTTGAAGTTAATGTACATCTAATTTTACATTTATCTGATTGAGTAGGTATGTCATAATCATGGTTCTCAGTGTCTACTTTTAGCCTTCACAAAATTTGCTTTTTGAACTAGTATATTTAGTTTTTATAATTTCTTTTTCTGTAAGCTGCTACTTTGTCTAGCTGTCCTGCTTTACCACCCAATGAAATTAAGCTTGTTAGAATTATGCACAAAGAACAAAAGACAGCCTTATGTTTTGTTTTTTTGGGAAAACTAATGGATTTGGGTTGGACTAGTGGAAGTTTGGTGAATGGACCATATAGAATCTATTATAATTGCTTATGGTTCACCCTTTATTATTTGAATATGTGACTTTTAAATCAGAGATCCTTTTTTATTATTTAAGGTCAGTTTTCAGAGTTTCAGAATGTTGTGGTCACGTTTTTTATTCTTTTTGAAAAAGAGGTAAATTATTTGCCTGAGATCTGTGGTCACAGTTAGTGAACACCAGACCTTGGACCCAGCTTATTCTCATTCCAAACCTCTCATATTCTTTCTACTCTCATGAAAATTTTTACTGTCATGATAATACTCTCTTGATTCTCTCTGGTTGGACAGAGATGGGGAAAGATGAGGGTCCTTGGGTTGAATGGACCTGAAAACAGAATAAAGCATTGGTCTAGTAAATACTAAAGACTTGGAAAACACAAAGGTGATGAGGCATTAGAAAATAGAAGAGGAAAGTTCATAAATAAGGATATGACTTAAACAGAACAATACTACTACTTATCTGTACATTTTCTCATTAAATTCCCCAGACTAAAATATTTAAGGAATGGCATTGATCTTGAATCTTCATGTTCTGTGTGACAGAATGACTAGTAGACTCTAGTCTGGTGGGAAATTAAGAGGCAGTGTGTGTAAAAGAGCTCCATCTGGTGGCTCTCTGTGGTCATAATAAGAATTGGTTCCCTGGTAAATAGGCAGTGAGTTTAGGATGTGGAAATTGGGATCAAACTGACAGACTTTAGATCTGCTTTCTGTAAAACTTACTCCCTTCCTTTACCCTTTTATGGGACATGAAGCCTTATATATATATATATATATATATATATATATATATATTTTTTTTTTTTTTTTTTTTTTTTTTTTTAAGAGGGACAGTATGACACCATAATGTGTGCTAGAATTGGAAGAGGGTAATTTTACAGAGAAATGGTAGACATTATATACCACTTTGTGATAAGAATCACTTTATTTTTAATGAAGTTTAGTTCTTTGAATTTGCACTTAGGATTTTCACATCTTCCCAATAATACAGACAGTATTTTCCTTAGTGTATCAATACTTAACCAACATTTAAGTATTAAATTATCTAATAGCCCTTCTCTTTTTCAGAATCCTACAAAGGACACTTTGGTCCTATTCACTGTGTGAGATTTAGTCCTGATGGAGAACTCTATGCCAGTGGTTCTGAAGATGGAACATTGAGACTATGGCAAACTGTGGTAGGAAAAACATACGGCCTTTGGAAATGTGTACTTCCTGGTAAGCATCTGTATTCAAAGTTAATCAAGTTAAGGGGGGGGTGCTATAGATTTTAACTTATTTGATATGGTTTAAGCAGAGAAGCCCATAATTATAAATTGGCTACTGTGTTACTTTATTTGGTTAAATTTTTTTGTTGTGTTTTCTGTGCTTCGTGTGTGTGTGTGTGTGTGTTTTCTATTCTTGAATTTTTTTACACCAGATCATTTGGTGAATGACATGGACCTATTTCAAAATTTGCTAGAGGGTGATATGAAGAATTTCTAAGTAAATGTATTTAATCTCTGGTATTACTCACTGATTCTTATTAATAAGGTAGACATGCTTTTAATAAAAATACTTAGTTATTGATCCCAAAGTAGTTGTGGTATGAACTTAAAAGTGAACTTTGATGGAAAGACATACTATTTTAGAGTCACAGTTATTAAAAAAGGGGAGGTTCCTATTGGGTTTTGTAGCTCATTGCTTAGAATAGTGTTGGTGTACTCTTCTTACTTATTAAATACTGGAGGTTGCTGGTAATACTGTAATTCACATAATCATGATTGCTTTTCTTTTCATAGAAGAAGATAGTGGTGAGCTGGCAAAGCCAAAGATCAGTTTTCCAGAGACAACAGAAGAGGAGCTAGGTAAATACTAATGAATTAACTTTTGTAGAGTCCTGGGGGATTTAAAATTGAAGTGTTAGGTGACTTTTACTCGTTGACAAAGGAAATTTATTAAATATGAACATACTTAAATAATGGAAAGTTTATGTATATGTATTTTTTATATACATATGTATTTTTATATACATGTTTATAAAATATTTTAAGTATCTACTGCATAGTACAGTCTCGGAGATGTAGTGTGGATCTGAGGTAGTTACTCTTATAGTCCTTGGAGTCTAACTTGAGGCAGTTGCTAAAATAAAAAAACAAATTGTCACAGTTACATTTGTTATTTAACATTTATTAAGCGCTTACTATGTACCAAGTGCTGTTTCCCAAATCTAGAATTACAGATTGTAAGATGCACTGATCATATAATATTGTTTGAAACTTGAATAAATAAAGGAGGGGGCCAGATCTTTCAAGATAAGACTTTAATTCAGTGCTTACTAGATAGTTGGAATCACTGAAAGCTTAGCCTAGAAGAGGGGACCCTGGGAAGTTCAGTTATGGTATAGAAGAGTTTGATGGGTGAAATATAGGAACTATTTTTTCATTGCATTTTCAGTGCCATGAGTCTAGTCATGAATGGTGTGTGCCCTTGTTCTCTTTTGCCTCCCCTCACCAGCACACTGAAAAAATCTTTTTATGCCTTCGTTACACAGAAATTTTCTTTATTAAGTTGACTAATGTGGGGTTTTTTTAATTGTTATTTTTTCATTACAGAAGAAATTGCTTCAGAGAATTCAGATTCCATCTATAGTTCAACTCCTGAAGTGAAGGCCTGAGCATTGGGCATATGCCACAGATAATGTACAAGTTATGGACTAAAACAAGCAAGCAGAGAGAAGCATCAGCCTCCCAGAGTTACTCTCTGCTTAAGGCAACCATGAGCAGTAAATAATGGGGAATGTGAATTAGCTCCAGTGCTGGAACTAACTTGGTGTAACCTGTACGTGAAAAGGCAAGAGTATCAGATGAAGGCAGGTGGAATTAGGCTCTTGTGGTATGATGGCCTGTTGTCTTTTTAATGAATATGTGCAAGCCAACATCCAATTTCTCTTATTACAATTAGATTTCTTGTAGCTGTTTATGTTATTATGGAGAAGAAAAATATATTGGCCTATTTTTCTGACTTTTCCCTTAAAGCAGAAAGCCTTTTTTTTTTTTTTTTTTTTTGCTTTAGTTGTAAAGAAGAGGAAATACATGATAAAGTAATTGGTTTGATTTCTCTTTCATTGTACATTGCTTCTGAATATCTAATTGTTTTAGTTGTCTAAATAAAATGCTTCTAAACAAAACAATGTTTGTTTCCTGGGAAAAATACAGATTTGAGTTTATAAATGGAAATTGCCAAAAGTTTTTCTACATTATAACTATATCAAAAGACAATATGGTTAAACAATCTTTAGTAAACATATTGTTTCCTAATTTTGAAATTCAGTTACTTGTACTGGATTTTTAAAATTTCCATGTTTTTCGCTGGGTTTGCATTTACTTCCTCTTGCATTGGATAGAAATGCTTGACCTGCTTTTTAAAAAAATTTCAGAGTAATGACTTACTTAAATGACACATGCTAGTTATAAGAAAAAAAATAAGGTGAGTCAGAATTGGCAGAAAGCAGGAAAATCGCTTGAAATCGCACCATCCCCCAAATCTGTTAAAATTCAGTGAGCATTAATGGCATTTTTGTGTATCTGTATGTGTGTATGCAGATAGAAAAAAGTGGGATAATTGTAGATCTGCAATGTTTATTTTACTTTATCCTTTAAGTGCAGATGGCATTCAAAAAACCTTTTTACCAGCCTTCTAATAAAATGGGTCAACTGGGTTTACACTTGTACTTATTTTTTAAAATAGGAGTATATTAAACTAGTGACAGAAATACTTTAGACCAATGAATAACATCTCTTGTCAAATTGCTTTTTGTCTCCTTATTCATCTTGTGAATGACCCTTGATAACTTTTTTTTTTACAAGAAATAACCAAGCAAAGAGTAAGTTTCCAGGGATTTGTGGTAATCTTAAGAAAGCACTATTGGCTGTGACAGCCAAGAGAGGTATGTCATGGGGATAGATAGCCACTGACCAGCCACACACGGTCTCATAGGATGGTAGTTTTGTGTCCTCTTGCCACATGCCTGGTCCTCTGCTTTGCTGTAGCAATATTGTCTGTACCATGGGCTGCTTAGAGTCTAGTCAGAATCTGACTTACCTTAAAGTTGAGATTTATATGCGCCAGAATGGAATCAATGAAATTGCTGGATATTTATGAAATTTATGATTCAAGGGGATTTCGTCTACTTAGGTTTTATAAAAATCTAAAGACCATACACAGATACATGCTTACACATCACTGGGTGGCAGATAGCTTAGAATCTATGAAAGTTGTTTTGAGTTAAGTTTGTAAGTTGGAGAATTTCAGGCCATGAAGTTCTGTCATACTACGCCTTGTATTTATTTTGTGACTAGAATGTTCATGTTGGTCACATCTCTGGGTTGATACAAACTGTCACGTTCTTAAGCTTTTAGCCCATTTTTAGATACTGGTTACTGAGGTAAGTCATATCAATTTTCAGCTTTTGCCAGATTAATAGAGTTGTTTTTGAACATTAGCTACTTCTGTTCTTGTTTTTTTTTCTTAAGATTTTTTTTTTTTATTCGTAAGTAATCTCTATATCCAATGTGGGGCTCAAACCTACAACCCTGAAATCAAGAGTCACATGCTCCATGGACTGAGCCAGCCAGGCACCCTGCTGCTTTTGTTTTTAATAACAGGGCATGTTTTCAGAGATTAATCAAACTCTGAACTAAGTGCAGAGCCCAATGCACGGGGCTCGATCCCATGACCCTGAGATCGTGACCTGAGCCGAAACCATGAGTCAGACGCTTGACTGAATGTGCCACTTCAGGTACCCCTACTGTTTGGCTCTTAAGGCTAACCTTGTTTTTCTTCGTAATCATATATACTGGGTATAGACCACCTAGGAGACTATGGAAACAACCAGTTTGGTATCCTTTGTGTATTGATTTTCTATTGCTGCTGTAACAGATTATCACAAATTTGTCTTACAATTAAGGAGGTCCAAAATGAGTCTCACTAATCTAAAAATCAAGATGTTGACAGGGTTGCATTTCTTCAGGAGAGCCTCTGGTTCCTTGCATTGTTTTGCTTCTAAAAGCTGACATTCCTTGGCTTATGGTCTCTTCCTCTGTCTTCAAAGCCAGCAGCTTAGTGTCTTCAAATCTTGGACCCTCCTGCCACCCTCCTTCACTAAAAAAAAAAAAAAAAAAAAAAAGGCCATGTGTGACTACATTGGACCTACCTGGAATAATTTCCCCAGTTCAAGATTCTTAATGACATCTACAAACTCTTTTTGCCATATAAGGTCATATTTGTAGGTTCTAGGAATTAGGACATGGACATCTTTGTGTGTGTGTGTGTGTGTATGTGCGTGGGACCTGGACATCTTGGACGCTATTAGTCTGCCTATCACACTATGTAATGGTAGAATCTTCTAGTAGAATTAACTTTAGCAAAAAGGTCAAGTACATATCTAAGTTGCACTTGTCAAAGTCTCCAGTGTTCTTCATGTTTCTAACCTATCACTTTTCTGTTCTTGTTTTACTAAACCTTCGGCAGCAATCAATAGTTGTCTGCTTTTTTTTTTTAAAGATTTTATTTGAGAGAGAGAGAGAGCACAGGCCACGGAGAGAGGCAGAGGGAGAATGAGACTCCCCGCTGAGCAGGGAGCCCGATGCGGGGCTTGATTCCAGGACCCCGGGATCATGACCTGAACCGAAGGCAGATGCTTAACCAACTGAGCCACCCCACCCAGGCGCGCCTGACTTGTTTTTGAAATACATTTTTTTCATTGCTATGAAACCACACTCTTGGTTTTCCTTATACTTTTCTGACTGCTATATTTGCCAATTCTTCCTTTTCCGCTGGGCTGTACTTCCTAGTTCCATTTCTCCAAAGGAATAAAAACCACATCTATTATTATGACATTCAGTATTTTCTGATACCTTCTAAATTTGTATATCCAGTCTGTCTCCCTGAGCACCACGGTTTAATGGCATAGTTGAGTGTTGCCCCTTAACCTTTATAAGTATCTCCGACTTAAGACAAATCTTAATTTTTCAACGAAACTGATTTCTTTCTCAACTTATTATTTATTCCAGTAGCCAGCACTACCTATTACTTGTTTAAACTAAAAGAGAAGTCCTTGGGGCACCTGGGTGGCTCAGTCAGTCAAGCAGCCGACTCTTGGTTTTGGCTCAGGTCATGATCGCAGTGTCCTGGGATTGAGCCCGAGTCAGGTTCTGTGCTCAGCACGGAGTCTGCTTGAGATTCTCTCTCTCTGCCCCTCTCTTGCTCATGCTGTCTCTCGCTCTCTTGCCCTCTCCCTCTCTCTAGAATGAATAAAATCTTTTAAAAAAATAGAAGCCTTTGAGTTCATTCTCATCCCCATTTCTATTTTGTACACAAATCCTGTGGGCTCTTCTGAATCTACCTTGCCTCTTCTCCACTGTTAGCCCTCTAGGCCAGGCTCTCTTTATTTCTCACTTGACACTATTGCCATGCCTTGCTGACTGCCAGGGGATTGCCTTGTATAAATCCGTAGTGGCTTCCCATTACACCGCTTTTTCTCATGATCAGACTTTGGCCTTCTGTGACCTCTTCATTTTTCCTTCGCTTGCTTGCACTGCTGTAGCCATGGTGGCTTCATTTCCATTTCAAGGCCTTTTCACTTGGCTTGCTATGTCCACTACTTGGTCCACTCTTCCCTAAATATTTGCATGGCTAACCCTTTCTTGTGATTTGGGTCTCAAGTCCTCCTGTATCCCTTCTCTTGTCACTTAACTATTTTGCCTTTGTTTTATTCATAGTTCTTATCACTATCTGAAATTATCTTACCTATTTTTCATCTTCAACAGTACTACCCTTTGCCTAGAAAAGAGGCTGGTATGCTAGTAAGTGCTCAAAAGTTGTTGAAACAAGGTCCTAAATTAGCACCAAATCTTATCAGACCAGGAAGATAATTTTCCAGTTATTCCGCATGCAGCAGACATCCTGTTCACTGAAGAAGCAGACATGGTAGGAATCCACTCAAAGCCCTTGCCCAGGTACAGCCAAAGGCAGCCTGAGGCCCATTTACCTAGGAGAGTCCGGCTTGTATGATGGTCTCATCTCCACCCACTTTCCCATTCCGTTTTTCCTATAGAGCCTCCTCTTTATGTCCTACTGTGCAGTAGGTCATGGAAACTGAATTCCCACCTAGTTTTTAGTCATTTCACTTGTGTATCATTACTTCTCAATTTTAGTATCATCCAGAGGTTTTGCCCAAGAAACCAGGATTGAGTGTGGTCAGTAAATTGTCTTGAGAATTTTTCCTATCAGTAAAGTTCAACACATTCTTTTAATGGCTATAAAATAGTATGGTAAATATGTGCCATAATTTATAATTTAAGGTGTTATATTTTTAGTAGTTCAAATTCAGTGGAATTATTAATTGAGCTGCCTTTTCTTCTTTGAGACTAAGGGTAGAGGGATAGCGCACATAGATGTAATTTTCCAGAAGGAGCAACAACAAAATGGGAATTGAAAATGCAGACTAGGGGAAAACATTTCTTTAGTAGCTACCTATGTTTTACACCAGGAGGATTAACATTTTGAAACAAAAAGTGATCCCTATTGGGTTGCCATATAAGTTACTGTACATGTTGGCTCTTAAAGTAGGGGGATTCACTTTTCCTTGTTCATAGGAATGCACAATTGCCAGTGGGTAGAGTACCACCTAGACCAGGATAGAATCAACAGAGTTCCTGAAGACACAAAGGAGGCATCTAACAAATTTACCTGTGGAAACAAGGCCGAAGCCTCTAAATGAACAGTAATAATACTTTACAGGTTGAGTCACTCTATATAATTAATGAGAGAATAGAACTTTCTCAGGATATCTTCAATAACCCAATGAAGGTAAGATATTACCCATTTTATATTTGGAGAACCTGACTTTCAGAGGTTAAATGGGTGGTCTAATGAGTTTGGCTTCAACAGGATAGTGGGAACAGCACTTGTGTAGTCTGTAGGATTATATTGCCTGGGTTTTAAACCATCCTCTAGAACTTAGACTAATTTTTCTGAGCCTTAGTTTCTTTCTGTGAAAGGAGATGACAGTTCTCCCACAGATTTTTTTTGGAAATACCTGGTTTTCTTTTTTGAAATAACGATAATTGATGTAAGAACTTAACTCATAGGAAGCACTTAGTATTATCTATTTATTCTATCAATGATTCTCTAACTTTGGGATTTTGTGGACCAATCGATTAAAGAAGAAAAGGAGTAGATCAGGGCAAGATAGAATGGTTTGCTTCTAATCTTGACAAGTGAGGTTGTTACATTTTTTTTCTACCACCACAGTCTTCGTAAGAGAAAAGACATTTTTAAATATCCAAGTTGGTAGTGAAAGACCCGGTCTCAGAATAAAGAACTGTTATTTAAATTGAATAAGTTTAGCTTCTATAAAAAACTCAATATAATTCTTACTCTCTTATTTCACCATGAAGTAGGAATTAGATGTTCTCTAAGTGTCCTTCCAGTTCTGAAATACGTCAATTCTGACATTCATACTTTTGCCTAGTTCTCCTTGCTTCTACACCTTCCTTCTTTTGACTTAGAAAAACTGGTTACAATCCATAGTCCAAGTCAGTATTTACCTAAGGAATCTGTGCGTGCTCTTAGAAATCACAGGATGGGAGACTGCAGGCAAATGGAATTGGACTGGATAAAACTGTTACCACTATAAGAAAAATAGCCCAGCCAGTAATATACAGTCATTCATCTAACAAATAAAGACATGTAATTACTATGTGACAATGACCCTAGGCAAATGAAGAACCAAACACAAAGGGTCTATGCCCTTTGGAAGTTGACAGTTGAGTTACTCCTAACTCCCAGGCCTTGTAGGTTCTTGAGGCTTCAAGATAAATATGATATAGTCCTAGAGCTTTAATTTTAACTGAAGGAAAGAGTGGGAATGGGAAGAGAGGTAATTTATCTGGCAATTTAAAAGTTATATTAAAAAAGGAGTAACAAAATTTGCATGGATTAAAAAAATAACAATACATAATACTTGAAAGAGTTTTACTCATGTAAGAACCAGTGTGGGCCATAACTCCAGATTGGCATGCATGGTTTACTCTTCTTTGCCCCTAGGTTGATGATTCCTTTCATTTAGGTTGCATTAACATCATGTGAAGGAACTTGTTAAAAATATGAATTCCAGGGTGCCTGGGTGGCTCAGTTGGTTAAGCAACTGCCTTCGGCTCGGGTCATGATCCTGGAGTCCCGGGATCGAGTCCTGCATTGGGCTCCCTGCTCGGCGGGGAGTCTGCTTCTCCCTCTGACCCTTCCCCTCTCATGCTCTCTCTATCTCATTCTCTCTCTCAAATAAATAAATAAAATCTTCAAAAAAAAATATGGATTCCAGGATCCTAGAGATTCCAATTCAGTAGGGCTGTGGTAAAGCCTAGAATCTGCTTTAGAAAAAATCTCTTGGGAGATTCCAGTGTAGTAGTGGTGGTCTACAGATCTTTCTTTGAGAAGCCTTTCCTTAGGGATACTTCAAAAGTTTGTTGTCGGGTTCACACAACAATTATGGGGCTGAAAAGGAAAAGTAATCCCAGTCTTACTACCCTACACTGAGCTGCCTCTCTGCTTTGTCAAGACATAGCAGAAACTTTCAGAAGTTTCAGAAGGCAGTAAGTTTAAAAAGGAAATTCACGAAATGAAACGTCAACACTGCTCCATCAATTTTTTTCATGGGGTGCCTGGCTGGCTCAGTTGGTAGAGCACGCGACTCTTTATCTCAGGGTTGTGAGTTGAAGCTCCGTGTTGGACAGAGCTTACTTAAAAGAATAAATAAAAAGTAAAAAAAAAAAAAAAACAAACAAACCCCTCACCTTTTGCATTCTATCCCTACTATCCTTCTGAATCCTGACAATTTAACTTATTTTCAAACTATAGAGATTAATTCCAGATTAGTATTAGCAACATGTTAATTTTAGACAAAGTCCTTGAGAAATTTTTGTCAGAAATACATTGCTAGGGGCGCCTGGGTGGCTCAGTCGTTAAGCATCTGCCTTCAGCTCAGGTCATGATCCCAGAGTCCTAGGATCGAGCCCGCATGGGGCTCCCTGCTCCACGGGAAGCCTGCTTCTCCCTCTCCCACTCCCCCTGCTTGTGTTCCCTCTCTTGCTGTGTCTGTCAAATAAATAAAATCTTTAAAAAAAAAAATTAAAAAAAAAAACATTGTTAAAATGTCTGCTGTTGGAGGCTGCCCTGATTCTGGTATTTTAACTGAGTTAGGATCTCACCACTTTTGTTTGTTTTTAATAAGTTTACATTATATGTGGATGTATAACAAATGGCTTAGAATCTGGCTTAGAATTGTATCTGCCCCTAAAAACAAAATTCCATTTATTGTCTTTGTATCTCTTAGGGATGTCAGGGCTTTCTAGCTGACCACAGGAACACACCTGTAGTTGGATAAATCTGGGTTTATTGATTTATTGGAATAAGGAAGAACACTTACCATGTGGCACTGTGAGCTGTCTCAGAGAGTGTTAGAAATGACATGGGGGGCGCCTGGGTGGCTCAGTCGTTAAGCGTCTGCCTTCGGCTCAGGTCATGATCCCAGGGTCCTGGGATCTAGCCCCGTGTCGGGCTCCCTGCTCAGCGGGAAGCCTGCTTCTCCCTCTCCCACTCCCCCTGCTTGTGTTCCCTCTCTCTCTCTGTCTCTGTCAAATAAATAAAAATCTTAAAAAAAAAAAAAAAAAGAAATGACATAGGATTTGAGCTCATGCTACATGATTTGGAGAAGGTTCAAGGAAGCAGAACATTACTCTGGATTGGATGCTGGCAGGAAGTGGTGATAATTCATGACAGGGCATCTTAATATTCTTATTTAAAATACAAGAATTGCCAGGTTCGGTTAAAGCTGATGGATAAAGAAGTGACAGTTAATTACATTAGCCAGGATAGGAACTTTTTGTCATTTTTGTGGTTTGGGCATATTCATGTTTTTTTCTGTGTTCAAACAGGATTATGCATGGTCTTATTTTTGTTGATTCATCACGGTTACGGTGACCTTGGCTGATGTTGATGTTCTGTGAAGTTGTTGATGTTTTACTTGGGAGCACCATGGCCTAGCTGCAAGGGCTCTGGACTGCCAGGGCCTGTTTTTTGCTTTTTCAGGGTTAAAATAAAAATAAAGGGAAAATGCTATCATATGAATGAGTAGAATGTGGACACATTCAAAATACTGAGCAATAGCTATGTCTTGACAAAGCAGAGAGGCAGCTCAGTGTAGGGTAGTAAGACTGGGATTACTTTTCCTTTACAGCCCCATAATTGTTGTGTGAACCCGACAACATTAACAGCTTTCATTTGTTGAGCATCTGCTACATGCAGTAACCTTACTTTGGTGCTTTACACACATTCAACAGCTTTGCAAGGCATATGTATTTTGATCTCTGCATTTTCCAGACAAGTAGACAGTAACATTCCTGGAACCACCTAGTTATTAAGTGGAATTGCAAAGGGGTTTAAAGGGGTTTGAACCTTTCCGAACCTACTCAGTTTCCACTGTACCAGGATGCCTCTTTATTCAGAACCTTGGTGTCTGCAGGTATAGCAATGGAGATGTAATACGTACTTGGCAGGATTGTTCTGAGACTGAAATGCTATTCTACATCTAAAAGCACCTAGAGGGGGGCGCCTGGGTGGCTCAGTCGTTAAGCGTCTGCCTTCAGCTCAGGTCATGATCCCAGGGTCCTGGGATGGAGCCTCGTATGGGGTCCCTGCTCTGCGGGAAGCCTGCTTCTCTCTCTCCCACTCCCCCTGCTTGTGTTCCCTCTCTCACTGTCTCTCTCTCTCTGTCAAATAAATAAATAAAATGTTTAAAAAAAAAAAGAGCACCTAGCGGGGTGCCTGGGTGGCTCAGTTGGTTAAGTGTCTGCCTTTGGCTCAGGTCATGATCTCAGGGTCCTGGGATCAGGCCCCACATGGGGCTCCCTGCTCAGCAGGGAGTCTTCTCTCTCTCTCCCTCTGCCTCTCCTCCCTGCTCCTGCTCACACTCATGCGCGCGCTCTCTCAAACAAATAAAATCTTTAACAAAAAAATAAAATAAAAGCACCTCGCACAGTGACTGGCTCATGGTGGACAAGCCACAACTGAGTTTTCTTCCTACCTCTGGGGGTAGAGATGAGTTGACTAGTAGTCTATGTTGAGTGACTCTGGACAATTTTAACCCGGTTACAGAAGAGTTAGGCTGAAAAAATGTTAGTATCACAGATTCAAAGTTTAGGGCTCCAAGAAATTGTCAAGGTCATTTCTAAGAGATGAGGACAATGAAGCTTAGAAAGGCAATTGATGTGCCCAGTGTCCCACTTAATTACTGTCAGTGCTATGCTGAGAAACCGGACTTCTCACTCCTAGAGCCCCCTCCCCGTCCGGCCCCCTCTCCCCAGGCAAGGGAGCGGCTTCACTTCATGAGGTCTAGGTTAGAGTCACAGAGTGCTCTGAGCCCTATTTGCTCGCTGGCCGCCCTTACACGGCGAGGGGATCGCCGCTGCCCTTCACGTATGGGGCTGCAGAGCTCTGCGCTTGGTCAGTAACTGGCAGGGATCCTCCCCGCTCTCGTTACTTAATCTTACAGTGAAAAGTTTCCAAACGTCTTTATTCAGTGCATTTGGCAATTCAAACATTTTAAAACGGGTTTTGGTAGCATTATTTCGGGAGCCAGGACTCGAGTCCCGCACCTGGGGGAGGAGGGCAGGAGAGGGGCGGCGCGACGTCCCCGCACGGCTGCGGGCGGGAGTCAGACCGCCGGACTGCGATCCGCGGCCCCGCCCCCAGAGGGAGAGGGGCGGGGCGAGCGCGGCGACGCCGCGGGGCAGGCGGGAAGCAGGAAGGGCGGGGCGGAGGGGAGCTCGGCGTTGAGGAGCCGGCGACTGCGGCAGCTGCCCCGCCATGTCCGCGCGCAACCGGGGCACGGAGCTGGGTAAGGGCCCCGCGGGTCGTCCCCGCCCGTCTCCATCGCCTCGCGCGCCCCCGCCCTCCGCCGCTCGCTGGGCTCGCCTCGCCTGGTGCTCTGGCGTCGGCCGCCGGGGGTGCTCGCCAGGGCCGGAGGCGGCGGCGGCGGCGGCGGATCCGTCCGCACCCACCCTGAGCAAAGGCCGGTCCACCCAGACTTAGGAACTCAAGTGCACATTGGCACCCAGGCCTTATGTGGTGAACGGAAGACGTGGGAAAGGATTCGACTTTTTCATTTTCCGGCTTAATTCGTTCACCTTCTAGCTCCCTGGTTGCAAAAAACAAACCAAAAAACCAAACCAAAACCCAAGCCCAAAAAACAAAAAAACAAACCCTCAAGCCCCCCAAACAAACAACCCAAGTAAAACAAGATAAAAGCCTTCCTTACCCACTCAATGGAACCCCTGTGCGATTTAATGCGGGATTTCCGTAGATAATTTTACCACTGCTGTATCCCTAAAACGGCCATGCTGGTGGAAAAGTTGTCAGGTCTTTGTACTGTATAATTTATTGTGAATTGTGTATGATTTTAGAAGTACAGAGGTTTGTGAAAGTGCCTGAAGTATTTCATAATTTTTCATCTTACAGATATTATCAAATATGACTGGCAAGAAAAATTTAGTTTTGATTTCCTAAAATGTAAAAAATTTGTAATTCAAACATAAGCAGAACCATAATCAGAGCCAGAGGATAAGGATCTCAGTTTAAGTATTATAGCTTGGATATCTGTATCCTGGATCTTCAATTTAGCTGTGTGACTTTGGGCAAATTACTTGATCACTCTGTGCTTAAATTTCTTAATCTGTAAAATGATTATACTTCATAGGGCGGTTTGGAGGTCGAATGAGAGGATTTAAAGTGTTTGGTACTTTGTGGGTACCTAGTAAGTTAATTAATAGTAGTATGATACAGAATTCTGATTTTAAGGCCTGATTTTCAGAAAATTAGCTATGATTCTATATAACACATACAGGCACTTTTTTTTTTTCCTTTAAAAGTGATTATTCTAATGAAATAGGCTAGACTTTAAGAGGTAGTTCAGGAATTCTGTTAAAAGGTAAGTGTCTGTCTCTATAAAGACACTTGATTTCTTCACCAAATTGATTCTCCTTTAGTCATTGCCCTTTAGCATATTATGTTTTAAACTCTAGTTGCATCCCTGAAATGTGGACTTTAGTAGTAAAGGAGTATTTCCCTAGACTAGGAGATCCAGAAAGATGGTGGATGGAGTACAGGGATGGTGTAGGTCTTACCTTGGTATCCTCAGGGATATGGCTCTCTAACTCTGTACACATCGAGGATTTAACGATTATTTTTCCAAAACTTAGACGTTTATTTATTTATTTTTCAAGAAATGCAATTAAAGCCATTTTTACTTTATTTTTTTTAATTGGTGTAATTGACACATGACATTTTGCTTTCTTTATTTGCAAGAATTAGCGTCACATCCATACATTTGTTGAAAAGTAACAGTCAAGACAAAAGACAGTTGCTATGGGGCGCCTGGGTGGCTCAGTCTTTAAGCGTCTGCCTTCGGCTCAGATCATGATCCCAGAGTCCTGGGATCGAGTCCCACATCGGGCTCCCTGCTCAGCCGGAAGCCTGCTTCTCCCTCTCCCACTCCCGCTGCTTGTGTTCCCGCTCTCGCTATCTCTGTCTCTGTCAAATAAATAAAATCTTTAAAAAAAAAAAAAAGACAGTTGCTATGTAGAATAATAGTAAATTTGATTTTTATGCAGCTATTTAAAGGATCATAGTTTTGTTTTATTCTCTTTGTTTAAATAAAATCATACATTTCAAGGATTTTTTTTTCCTTCACTGGTATTAATCATTAATCCAGGCAGAGGTTTAGCCTAAAATGTAAAATAAGTTATTTGAATTATTTATGTACTAGGAAAAAAAAATCATTCAGTATTAATTTATGTGGTATATTAACTGATGCCTTTTATAGTTTTCTAATTAAAAGTCTTTTTGAATAAACACTCACTTTTTAAAAATAAATTAACTTGTATTTCTTTATTACAAAAGGAATTCATGTTCATTGTAAAAATTTTAGAAAATACAATTAGCACAAAAAAACTAAAATTATTAATAATCCAATCATTTATTTATATTTTAGTGTATATACTTCTAGTTAATAGACTTTTTTAATAAATAGGCTCATTTGAGACTGAACCTCACCCTCATGATAAAACCCTTTAGGGAAAACATTCTTTTATCATGGCATTTAGGTATGTGAAAGAAAGAACACATCCTCTAATGTTAATTTTTATGTCCATGTTTAGTGATCAGTGCTGTCTGCTTAAGGTATTTTATACTTAAAATGTTCATTTCTGATTTTCTCCAACTCAAACATAAAGCTGAAAAACCTTTTCATTGGGCAGTGTTTGCCCTAAGTGGATAAAAGCTTGTCAGTTTGGAGTCAGAAGGGGAAAAAAAAAACCCTAAATCTGGGCCTGGTATTGAGTAGCTGAGGGTTCTGGCCAAGTCAGTGGTTGTCAAAGTTTGCTTCCTGGACTAGCACCACTGACATTGTATGAGAGCATATTAGAAGTGCAAATTCTCAGGCCCTGTTGAGATCCTAATGAATCGGAAGCTCTGGGGTGGGTGTGGGCCTTCTGAGTATTGATTAGTCCTCTGGGTGGTTCTCAGCACACCCAAGTTTGAGAACCACTAGCTTAATGATCTCCATGGTGCTATGGAACACTTCTGGCCCTACATATTCTATTAAAATGTTCTTTTCTTTATTCTCCTAGATGCCTCCAAAGTTTTGCCTAAAATGTAGGTACAGCACAGGCAGTGATCTTTCTTTTTGTTCAGTGATGTATCTCAGGCACCTAGAATAGTGTCCACCACACCAGAGGCCCTCAAACATGTCTGTTGAATGAACAAATTAATTTAAAACTACTCCTTGCTTGGGAGAACTGGGGCATCCACATAGGCCTTTCTGTGTAGGCAGGTGCTGGTGGATGTACACCTCCCCCTTTTCTGAATATTATTAAAGTTTAGATTTGTTACTTTTGTCTCAAGAGGCTTATGAAGGATGTTGACTATGGGGCTTCCTTTCAAATGTGATTTTCTTTGGAGGCATCTGGAAAATGGGGCTGTTGTCTTAGGTGACTTCTAAGGACCTCCCTACTCTGTATATCTGTAAGCTCTTGTGTGCAGAAAGAAAAATTTCAAAGATATCTGAAAAACAATAGGAAAAAAAGTAATTGAAAGCTGATTTTTAATTCAGAGGGATAGGAACAGTTCGGTGGCTTTCCTGTATTGCATTAACAAGAGATGGTTTTAAGCATATATCCTCAGTTGGAATAATCAGGGACCGTGATTACTGAGGAATATGAAGATTATTTTACTCTGTGGAGGCACTTTCTATAGTGCAGGTTAGAACAAACAGAAAGGGTAGTTTATTTGTTTAAAACACAGATAAAGGAGATTAGCTTTGGCTAGTTGCCAAACCAAGAACTGTGATGGGATTTTGTATTTTACAAAGCACATTTATTCATTCAAAAAGTAGTTATTGAGTACCAGTTGTGCACTGGGTAGTATTACCTTGGATACAAGATGGACGAGGATAGTTCCTGCTTTTACAGACCTAGGTCTGATGCAGGAGCTGGGCATCACGCCAGAGCTACAATTAAAATAATTACAAATGTGATAAGCAGTTATTTTTCATTTATTTTTGTCTTTTTAAGAAATTAGATGTGCCTAAACTGTACCGTAAATGGATTGTGATAACCAAGTGTTCTGCCTTCTTATATTATAACTTTTATTTTTCCCTTGAAGAACTAAGATAAGAACCAAGAATGTAGGGAGTTCCTTTTTGCCCCTCCTGCTAAGGCATAACTTGGATGTAGAATGTAGATTTTGGTAATAGTGATTTTTCCACTGCAAAGTTATATTTAAACAATTTAAAAAAATATATTTGGAATGAAATTTTAAATCTTAAAGTTAGGCCAAGCACAGGATGCTTGAGAATAATTCTAGGTACAAAGATAGTGGTTAACATAGAGCTGTAGCTGTGTACCAGGCCCTGTGTTAAATACTTTTTGTGTTACCTCAGTTACTCTTCACCACAGCCTTGTGAAGATTCTATTATGATGCCCTTTTTACAGATGTGCAAACTGAGGTACAGAGAGTTTTAAGTAACTTGCCAAAAACCAGTTAGGCAGAGCTTAGGCAGAGCTAATGTGGCAGAGCCAGAATTCAGACGTAGGTGGTTTGGTGCTGACGCTGCGTGCTTAACCACCACCTATTGTCTCTGGGTGCTAATTGGGGGCATTCAATCTGTAATACAAGAGAAGGGACGTCAGTAGCTGGTGACTCTCTTAGGTTTTGCTTGTGTCTTTGTGAGAGCTTTTTGTTTTCTTACCATAATCCACATCTTTTTTTTTTTTACCTTTTTCTTTCTTCTTCGTTTTTTTCCTTTTTAAAAGTAAACTCTAGGGGCGCCTGGGTGGCTCAGTCGTTAAGCGCCTGCCTTCGGCTCAGGTCATGATCCCAGTGTTCTGGGATCGAGCCCCGCATCGGGCTCCCCGCTCGGCGGGAAGGCTGCCTCTCTCCCCTCCACTCCCCCTGCCTGTGCTCCTCTCTCACTGTGTCTCTCTCTGTCAAATAAATAAATAAAATCTTAAAAAATAAATAAATAAATAAATAAATAAAAGTAAACTCTATGCCCATTGTGGGACTTGAACTCATGACCCTGAGATGAAGACTTGAGTGCTATACAACTCAGCCAGCCAGGTGCCGCCCACCTCCCCCTTAATCCACATCTTTTTTTTTTTTTTTCATAATCCACGTCTTAACCATTGCAATTTGTTTTAGAGAAGATGAAGTTTATCTTGTTGTTGTTTTTTTTTTTTTAAGATTTTATTTATTTATTTGAGAGAGAGAGAATGAGAGAGAGCACATGAGAGGGGGGAGGGTCAGAGGGAGAAGCAGGCTCCCTGCCGAGCAGGGAGCCCG